TCATGATCCTAAAATGAATTGTTTTCTGTCTGAAGTGACCGAGAGGGAAGTCGAAAGCTATACCCATTCACATAGTGACGCATTTAACAGTCAATCGTCTCATCAAAAATTAACGATAGCAGTACAGGATAATTCTGCATACGGGATGGTTGTGCCAAAAGGATTTCACATTAAATCCTCAGGTAAAAAACCACTATAATCATGCTTGCATACTTTTATGACACTTTATTTCATTTTATGTAGAAAAGTTCAAACCTTCAGTAGTAACATCAAGCACTTCAATCAATCCAAGCACCATTGCTATGTCTACTAAGTCTCCTGAAGGTCTCCCTGAAAAACCCGGTATGTTACAGAATAGAATAATACTAATGCTATGTACTATTATCTTTATTGTAGGATCCAAAACTTTTCTTGACTTCAATAGAAGTACATTGGCTAGCTATGATATAAAAAAGGTTAGAGACATTGGAGCATTGTTTAATATAGTGCGATATAAATGCACAGGTAGCAGATTTACTGGTAAAGATGAGGCTGGAACAATATGCTGAGACATTTCAGAGGGAGCAAATTGATGGTAAGATACTGATTGAATTAGACGAAAGCATACTCAAGGAAGAGCTGGGAATAGCTAAGAAAATACATCGTTTAAAACTATTGAACATTATTAATGGTGATCAATGTATTTCAGTTTATGTTTAATAGATTGTTTTTATTTTTGTACATGTACACATGCACTCATGCAGTTATAAACATTAAGTTAGTTGACTGTATTTAAGTGCACGTTCCAACAAGTGTTAATTAGTACTCACTATACTCAAAAGTTTCATCTATTAGAGGATGTCTTGATCTTGTACTGTAGGAAACTAAACAGGAAGAAATATCAAAACTGTACCAGGACTGTAGTACATGCATCATCATCCACTATCCCCCTTGCATGACTAGATTAGTGTGTACATATAGATATATCGGTGAGAAGTAGGTAGAAGCAAAACATATTTGTGTCTAGATTGCCATCTGATTCACTGCATAAAAATTAACAGCACTCCAAACATTTGCTTTTTAATGGCATCATTATCTGAAGGAAAGAAGATAGAGCAAAATGAGGATTCATGTAAATGCACTTATATATGAATAATAGAATTTACGCCCACCACAAATAAATAAAACTCAACTTTAGGGTGTGGCTCAGTACCTGCAAAAAGCAATGGCTCAACACGTACACAAAGAAAGGTCTTTCAACGCATTCTTGTCTTCTGCTCCTATTCTCTCTGAGCTACTGGAACACATTGATGTTGGTACTAAGTGGTACCTCTTAGGTACATTGCTACACGTTGATGATAAGAGATTGAATGGTATTGAGCAGTCACAAGGACATGATGATACAAGCAAGGCATTAAGGATGTTTCAACACTGGCTGACCACTACTCCTACTGCTAGTAGGAGACAAGTTCTGGAAGCGTTGAGAAAGAGAGTGGTTAATGAGCATAGAGTTGCTGATAAATATGAAAAATACTTAAAGGAGCTTCTTGACACTATATCTACTGAAGCAGTTTCCATTCTTCAAAGGAATATCCAATCATTGAATAAAGCTCTTGTCTTTCCTGTACAAGTGTCTCAAATGTTATACTGTAAGAGATGTATAAGTGAAGTTACTCTGGATGAAATGGAGAGGATGGATCAGAGGAGGTCACTGGATGACAAGAAGACCACTCTATTGACTGCCATGAAAGAAATAGTGTCTAGTGACTACAGGAAACTTAAAGATATTGCTATAGTGCTGTCTGACTTTGAGGAATTAAGAGATATAGCCAATGAAATGATGACCAAATATGGTAGGACATTGAATATTTTAACCTATTTATGAATACTATTATATAACTATAGAAGAGAAAATTCCTCAGCAAGATGATAGTAGAGTAGTGCGACCACATGAGGTAGTAGGTGGTAATGAAGGTCGTGCTAGTGATATATTGAGGAATAATTACAGTGCTCTCTCTCAGTCAATTACTGAACCAGTTTGTGTGGCAAGGTTGCTTCATGAAGAGGTTATATCTGATGAGGCTCTGTCTTGTGTCATGTCTATAAGAGGTTCCTACTCTGACAGTAGAGCAGTTCTCCTCAAAGCTGTACGAGATGCTGTTCACTCCAATTACAAACACCTGGAGTTGTTTGTTACTGTATTGAGGAAGTTCTCAGAGACTGCTCATATTGGAGATACTATTTTGGAGGAATACAGTAAGTTAAAATTCAAATATAGATCAATATGTAATATCTATTTATTACTATAATTCAGAGCATTATTTTAAAACTGATGCTGATGATGTTGAAGAAATAGAAACATATTTAACTGAAAGTACATTTAATTTGAAAAAAATCTTAATTTATTATGCTTTTAGGAGGAAATTCTGGTCTTTCTCAGTATGTATCAAGTGATTCTGAAAGTAAGAAGACTTAGTCTGAGCTAACAATCATTTAATTTATAAAAGCTGAAGACTTGGCTATTTTTGGTCATAAAATACCATTTCCTCGTAATATGGGAGAAGAATTTAAAGAGATGAGGATAAAATTTGGATCAACTTTCTATAACATAAGACTTCTTTTTTCAAAGAAATTGGCCAAATCACAGAAAAACATCAGCAATGTTAAAGCATTGCTCACTGATATTTTTCCTGATCACAAGTCTGAGCTTTCTGTTGCGAAAACCATTAATGATAAAAAGAATAATGGTATGTAAAGTTTAAGGCTGCACATAATTTCTCCCATCACTTTGAGTATTAATTATTTTTATGACATAAATAATGAAATTTTTGATATGAACAAAGCCACACTGTCCCATTACTTGCATTAGCCTGGCCTGCACATAAAAGAAAAAACATCATATAATATTTTTTATTAACAGATTCACTTGCAGAACAGGAGTCAACTGAAGCATCTGACACTGACACGTCAAGTAAATTATTTTTAAAATTTAAATTTAAAAATGAAATTTATAAATGTAATAAGCTTAATACACCGTATAGGGGGAAATTTTGGAGGGACTAAAATTTGGAGAGATACTAAATTTTGGTTATTGGCAAATTTTAATTTGGCAAATTTGTGGCCACGTGCCATTGAGCATGAGTATAATGGCTCAAAATGGCAGATTTTTATTTTGGCGAATGGCTATCAAGATTCAAAACGCCAAATTTGCCAAGTTTAATCTCCTCCAAAATTTTCCGTTATACAGTATGAGAAGCTAGCATTAATTTTCAATATTAAAAGATTGCTTACACTAAGTGTTGCCATTTACACTGCTTAAGTGTAAACAAACTTGTTTGTACCTTTAAGCCTATAAGCAATTTATGGACTCATGGGTGTAAGCAATGTGTTTAAAATTTGTCATTTTTAGAAGACTGCTTAAAATTAAGTTTATTATTGATTTCCATAGTACAAGAAGATGAAGATGTAAAGTGGTTCCAGAATGGTGTACGCCTTTTTAATCCTTCACTAGATAGTTGTAAAGAAGTAATCAGTAAACTGGAGGATAAACATGAAATAATGGTGCTCATTGCTTCACCATCTGTAATAATTCAGTTCCTAATACCAACTATATTGGAAAGAAAAGCAATAAAACAGCTTACTATATACTCATCCTTAACTCCTGAGGATATCCTCTCATTCTCTTCTGAACTATCAACCAACAAATCATTAACAAGTTTACAGATTATTCATAATTCAATCAGTGATGATGGAGTCTTTGTATTAGCAGAGGCACTGCAATATAACGAAACACTTCAATACTTGTATCTTAATGATAATCCTGACATCACTTCAGCCAGTGCTCAATCGCTAGCAAAACTTTTCATGCTCAGTTGCCTTAATCTTGATAATACTAACATTGATCCTAATGAAGTAATGGATTTGATGGAATCACTCAGGACCAATAATATACAATGAGCTGAAAGATGTTTTGCTTTTACAGTAATTTTAGTAGGCACAAAATTATTAATATTTTTAGTAGACATATAATTATGAATATTATTTTTAGTAGACACAAAATTTTTAATACTGTTTTGTGGTACCACGCTCTGATTAAATAATTATTTTGAAATTGGAGTACAGGAAAATGATTAATGATTAATTAATTAGCCACGCCCTGTGTTTAGATGGCTAACGTTCCCTCTAATGTTGGCGGCTCCTTTCCAGGCTCCTCTCTTGTTAGTAGCAGTTTATCTATCTTCAGAGATTATTCTGGCCAGCTCCAAACTGAAATAACTGACCCGTCAAGGCTATACCATCATCTCTCCCGTGTTGCTCCAGAGCTCTTGGATGAATATGGCGGCCATGGTGACTGTTATAGTGTCTCCAGTCTTCAAAATCCAACCATTTTAACCCATCACCTGCTCAACGGGGTCAGAATGGCCATTTCACAAGACCAAACTAAGCTTGTAGTGTTTCTGAATGCCCTATCTGAATTGATTGACCCTCGAGTTGACCAGAGATTGAATTGTATTGCACATGAAATGAAAGAACA